GTCCATTAGCAGTATTTTAACACGAGTCTGATGATAAACGTGTGGTTTTTGATGACACACTGACACCTGAACCGCCATTCAAACTCACGGAGGCCGTGTTCACAGGTGCGTCTCGTCCTCACCGTCCAGATTCAACATCAACACACACGACAGAAGATAAGCTTGTGTAATTCTCCAAGAACTGTTTATCTGCATGTCAGCAATCGGTTCATTCAGCAGAGGGGAAAGCTCATGAGGTGTCATAGTCCTAAAGGTGTGTTAAACACATGTCCTGAAGTTACCCGAGATGTTTTATTGCTGCAGGAACGCTGTGATGAGCAGTTTGATCGCTCTCTCAGGTGACTGCTGGAGTTTACAGTAAATCTGCAGCCTGTCAGTGATAAAGATCTCAGTATTGATCAGAACCTCAGTCACGTCACACTGATGAAAAACAGTCTTCTGTGGAAAAAGGGTCAATGAGACTCGCGAGCAGACAAGCACTCTATAGTTACTCTGCTGATTAATATCATACACACATAGCACTATCATCTCTAATAGTCTATCTTCTGAAAATATTATGAATTCAAATTTCACAAAACAGCTCATTCTGACAGCTAGAGAATCACTATTCACTGACAGACGGAGAGAAAAGCACAATCACGTCGTTTCTGCATTGGTTTGTTCTTTCCTTCTGCTTTATACCTGATTTATGTTGTAAAATTTGTTTTACATTTTTCTGAACAATGTATACATTTGTTTTTATGAATAAAATATCTATATTTTTGTGGTGAAATAAAAATATATACCACTTCTTCAGTGGTGAAGAAGTTTTTCCAGTTCAGAAACTAAAACCATTGGTCTCATTTAATGATCTTCACCTCATCCAGCCATAATTACTGTACCGTCTCTATCGTTCACATCTGAACAGGGTTTGACTCTATCAGATCTCCTCACTGCTCCTCCAGTGTCATGGTTCAAATCGTACTTATCTGACCGTCATCAATTCGCACTGATGAAAAACAGTCTTCTGTGGAAAAAGGGTCAATGAGACTCACGAGCAGACAAGCACTCTATAGTTACTCTGCTGATTAATATCATACACACATAGCACTATCATCTCTAATAGTCTATCTTCTGAAAATATTATGAATTCAAATTTCACAAAACAGCTCATTCTGACAGCTAGAGAATCACTATTCACTGACAGACGGAGAGAAAAGCACAATCACGTCGTTTCTGCATTGGTTTGTTCTTTCCTTCTGCTTTATACCTGATTTATGTTGTAAAATTTGTTTTACATTTTTCTGAACAATGTATACATTTGTTTTTATGAATAAAATATCTATATTTTTGTGGTGAAATAAAAATATATACCACTTCTTCAGTGGTGAAGAAGTTTTTCCAGTTCAGAACCAGTACGAAACTAAAACCATTGGTCTCATTTAATGATCTTCACCTCATCCAGCCATAATTACTGTACCGTCTCTATCGTTCACATCTGAACAGGGTTTGACTCTATCAGATCTCCTCACTGCTCCTCCAGTGTCATGGTTCAAATCGTACTTATCTGACCGTCAGAGAGAAAAGCACAATCACGTCGTTTCTGCATTGGTTTGTTCTTTCCTTCTGCTTTATAACTGATTTATGTTGTAAAATTTGTTTTACATTTTTCTGAACAATGTATACATTTGTTTTTATGAATAAAATATCTATATTTTTGTGGTGAAATAAAAATATATACCACTTCTTCAGTGGTGAAGAAGTTTTTCCAGTTCAGAAACTAAAACCATTGGTCTCATTTAATGATCTTCACCTCATCCAGCCATAATTACTGTACCGTCTCTATCGTTCACATCTGAACAGGGTTTGACTCTATCAGATCTCCTCACTGCTCCTCCAGTGTCATGGTTCAAATCGTACTTATCTGACCGTCATCAATTCGTAGCAGTGAATGACGAGATATCATATCGATCACAAGTACAGTATGGAGTGCCACAAGGCTCAGTACTAGGACCGTTGCTTTTCACGCTTTACATGTTACCCTTGGGAGATACAGTATCATCAGGAAACATGGTGTTAGCTTTCACTGTTATGCTGATAACACTCAGCTCTATATTTCTTTATGGCCCAACAAAACATACCAAAATGACTCTGTTATTGTCTTCTTGCATAACTGACAAACTATTTTCCTGTTTGACACTGTAAAGCTGCTTTGACACAACCAGTATTGAAGAAAGTGCTATACAAAATAAATAAATCTGACTTGACTTGACTCCAGGTCTCCATCACAGATGATGAGTCTCATCTGAGCTTTCAATATTAACACCAATTTGTGTCCCTGCAGCACAAAAGCAGTGTTGAGTCGCTGGGGGATATTTGTAGCAATAGCCAACAATACATTGTATGGGTCACAATTATACATTTCTCTTTTATGCCAAAAATCATTAGGATATTAAGTAAAGATCATGTTCCATGAAGATATTTGGAAAAAGGGTCAATGAGACTCACGAGCAGACAAGCACTCTATAGTTACTCTGCTGATTAATATCATACACACATAGCACTATCATCTCTAATAGTCTATCTTCTGAAAATATTATGAATTCAAATTTCACAAAACAGCTCATTCTGACAGCTAGAGAATCACTATTCACTGACAGACAGAGAGAAAAGCACAATCACGTCGTTTCTGCATTGGTTTGTTCTTTCCTTCTGCTTTATACCTGATTTATGTTGTAAAATTTGTTTTACATTTTTCTGAACAATGTATACATTTGTTTTTATGAATAAAATATCTATATTTTTGTGGTGAAATAAAAATATATACCACTTCTTCAGTGGTGAAGAAGTTTTTCCAGTTCAGAAACTAAAACCATTGGTCTCATTTAATGATCTTCACCTCATCCAGCCATAATTACTGTACCGTCTCTATCGTTCACATCTGAACAGGGTTTGACTCTATCAGATCTCCTCACTGCTCCTCCAGTGTCATGGTTCAAATCGTACTTATCTGACCGTCATCAATTCGTAGCAGTGAATGACGAGATATCATATCGATCACAAGTACAGTAAGGAGTGCCACAAGGCTCAGTACTAGGACCGTTGCTTTTCACGCTTTACATGTTACCCTTGGGAGATACAGTATCATCAGGAAACATGGTGTTAGCTTTCACTGTTATGCTGATAACACTCAGCTCTATATTTCTTTATGGCCCAACAAAACATACCAAAATGACTCTGTTATTGTCTTCTTGCATAACTGACAAACTATTTTCCTGTTTGACACTGTAAAGCTGCTTTGACACAACCAGTATTGAAGAAAGTGCTATACAAAATAAATAAATCTGACTTGACTTGACTCCAGGTCTCCATCACAGATGATGAGTCTCATCTGAGCTTTCAATATTAACATCAATTTGTGTCCCTGCAGCACAAAAGCAGTGTTGAGTCGCTGGGGGATATTTGTAGCAATAGCCAACAATACATTGTATGGGTCACAATTATACATTTTTCTTTTATGCCAAAAATCATTAGGATATTAAGTAAAGATCATGTTCCATGAAGATATTTAGTAAATTTCCTACTGTAAATATATCAAAACTTAATGTTTGATTAGTAATATGCATTGCTAAGAACTTCATTTGAACAACTTTAAAGATGATTTTCTCAATATTTAGATTTTTTTGCACCCTCAGATTCCAGATTTTCAAATATTGTCCGATCCTAACAAACCACACATCAATGGAAAGCTTATTTATTCAGCTTTCAGATGATGCATAAATCTCAATTTCATAAAACTGACCCTTATGACTGGTTTTGTGCTCCAGGGTCACACGTTTATTCTGAAATATCATTCACAATGCAAAAACACACACGTGTTTAGAAACGTTTATGAACCGAAGGTGAACCAGCATTTGGATCTTCTCAATCTTATGTTATGTGTGGCTCTTTAGAAAGATTTTCATTCACAAATTAATTTTTCACGCAGCCAATCAGACCAGATGTTTTCAGCCAATCACAGCGAAACTTTAAGACTCAAGTATCATCAAGCTTTTTATAGAAAATGAGTTTCCTTACATTGAAATCTGATCAAAGGCCGTCACAAGGAAAACCAATACGAATAACACGATTCCCTATAAAGCACCTGATTCTGTGAAGTACTTTGGTCAGCAATTATATTCTCAAAAGAGCTGGTTAATACAGAATGAAGCCATAAAACACATCTACTAATAAAAATGAGTAGTTGAATAAATCACTGCAACAACACCAGATACGGCTAATATCCTGCGTTTGTCAAACATTTACTGAAATCAGCCCATAAAACACTGATGTGGACGTCACACACACACACACACACACACACACACTCACACAGTGTTTTTATTTCACTGTAAATAAACGGCACAGTTCTGTAGAGCAGAATATATCAGAAGAAACAGCAGCTTACCACACGTCTGTCTGTCCATCTGTGTCTCTCTCTCTCTGTCTGTGTGTGTGTGTGAGAGAGAGAGAGTGTGTGTGTGTGTGTGTGTGAGAGAGAGAGTGTGTGTGTGTGTGTGTGTGTGTGAGAGAGAGAGTGTGTGTGTGTGTGTGTGTGTAATTTGTAAATGTGGTCTGTCTGTCCCTCACATGAGTCTGATTATGATAATTCACTTCATATTCGTCCTGATCTCCATTCAGAGCTCAGATACTCTCAGATACTCTCGTCCGTCACACAGAGAATGAACAAAACTAATCTGAATGTCAGCAAATGGAATGTAAGTTAACGACTGACACTGATTAAGCTCTTTGAATATCTCCAATCATGCACAATTATTTCATTACTTTTTATTCATTTAGATATTTTGGTTTATTTTGTTTACATTTTTTCAGTCTAGTGGACAGAAAACATCCAAAGAGTTGCTTTTATGGCACTCTCTGTAGATTTCAATCTTTAAAGAGTTTTTTCTCTTACAAACCGCAAACGTTACAGTTTTATTCCTCTCTATATTCTGAAGGTTTGCTCATATTTCATTCACACTGATTTATGCAACATTTTACTCCTAAAAACATGGTGAAAATGTGTTTGTTTTCTGTGTGTTGACAGTATTTTCTGATTTATGATGAAGAGAGAAGTCCACAATCCCCTCTGGAGAAACCTTTAACTCTAATATGAGGACAAAATCAGACCAGAATTATGAACCTGACTTTATCCAGTCATCAGATTAATGTGCTGGAAATGAATGCAGATTAGTGCATATTTAATGAGATAATGCATCATTTGAATATTCGAACATCATTCAGAAAACGTGTAACACACAAAGCCTGTCCTCTGTACTCCAGCAGTGCGGAGCTCTTCTTCGCTGGTGCGTAACGCGTGGCGCCCTCTGCTGGTCTGTCAGGAGACTCTCTACTTCCGGTGAAACCTGACGCCGCAGCGCTGGCCAGTGTAGTTTTTCAGCCCTGTCCCTCAAGAAGCGAATGTAATCGAGGCTTACCTTCAACAATCCTCACAGCGCCGGCATGATGCTCAGGTGCAGAGCATCTCGAGTCACACTCAGTTTTGAGCGCGTAAACAGGTGTGCTAGTCAAAGACAGGTGTGTTCCGTGTCGCCATACTGTCAGTGCGCTGTTCATTATAATCCATCAATACTCATTTATTCCTCAGTCAGAAGTTATTGATCCGTGTTTCAGCGCGACCTGCGAATCCCTCGCGCGCTTTTAGCTCTGCAGGTGAAGCCGCGTCACGCTGACGTCACTGAGGCCGCTGTACACCTGTGCTGGAACACTATTGCGTCACTAATAATAATGAGTGTTAAAAAATACCTGCCAATGGAGTTAGAAAAATAAGCTTGTTTCCCCTTTATTGTTCTCGTTTTAAGCATAAACACTTCATTTGGTGCACTTCAGAAAACAAGCTTGAGACACTGAGACAAACAAACGGTTTTTGTTGTTGTTGCATTTACAGGTGAAACTGTTTTTTGTGAATCGGTTTTAAGACAACCTGGACAGCATAAAGTGCATAAAAAGTGTTTTATTATCATTATTAGTATAATTATGAATCACATCCACCCAATGAGAAACAAAATCAGAGACATCCAATCAAAACGTAGTAAATAAACATCATGTGGGGGTTAGAAGAGAGCAAAATACTGTCAACACTCACACTCACACACTCACTCACACACACACACACACACACTCAGGTTCTGCGATTGGTTTCTGATGATTATTGCTCCCTAACGTCCCTCAAGAAGGAAGAGTAGCTCACGGCCAATCAGGGTTCAGGAACACCTTGTGAACTCTGACCCCTGCATCTGGAATGTTACATGACATTCTGGTCACATGTGTGTGTGTGTGTGTGTGTGTGTGAGCGAGTGTGTATATGAGTGTGTATGAGTGTGTGTGCATATGAGTGTGAGAGTGTGTGTATATGAGTGTGTGTATATATATATATATATGAGTGTGTGTGTGTGTATATGAGTGTGTGTGTGTGTATATGAGTGTGTGTGTGTGTATATGAGTGTGTGTGTGTGTATATGAGTGTGTGTGTGTGTATATGAGTGTGTGTGTGTGTATATGAGTGTGTGTGTGTGTGTGTGTGTGTGTATATGAGTGTGTGTGTATGAGTGTGTGTGTATGAGTGCGTGTGTATGAGTGTGTGTGTGTGTATATGAGTGTCTGTGTATGAGTGTGTGTGGAAGTGTCCGTCTGTCGATATCAAACACACCATGACATCATTCTATGGCGTTTGTTCGTCAGCTGGTTTCCAGTGGAGAGAACCGAGAGCAGCAGTGATCTAACGACAGAAAAACAGAGGAAGAGCGAGAGAAGGACAGCGAGAGCGAGACGGCGTCTCTGTTCCTGTGGATCCCAGAGCCAGAGCCAGAGTTTAGGTTCTGAGAGTCCACTGTTTGACGCAGGCGTCGTGAGACGTGGTGACGAGTGTGTTTGGGTTCAGCCAGGCCAGACCGCTGACGTGATGCAGCCGATGGGCGTCTAAACACAGATCACAGGTCAGGACTCGCTCTCATCCCAATCAGCGGACACACTCGCGCTCATTACCTGGGATTTTGATCCTCTTCTCGGGATCGCTGACGGTCCACACGTAAACCATCATGTCCATGCCGCCGGTGGCGAAGCGCTCGTTATCAGGTGACCAGGACAGACAGACCACCTTCGCGTGATGACCGTAGAACTCGCTCTTCTCCTGACACACAAACATTCACGAGTTACACACCAGCATCTGAGCATCTCCGAAGAATCATTTCAAAGATACATGATGCACACGGGCTTGACAAACTGGATACTTGAGGATAGTTAATAAAACCCAAAAACATCATGGGAATATAAACTTTTTTTGGTTATGCTAAGATGAAATATAACATACATAAAATAAATCTGTATCCAGTAAACTGCAGAGACAAGCATGTAAATGAGTGACATTTTCATAATGAATTTATATTGGTTTAGTTATACCAAGATCATAAATATTTTATCAGGCAGAAATTGTAAGTAAAAAATATTTTTTACAAATCTTTATGCATAAAATCACAAACGACTGGAAAACAACTCATGGAATTTTATAAAATCTTAAAACGCCAAGCAAGGACATTTTTGAAATGAATATACAATGTTTCTAGTTATGCCAAGCATTGAAATATTTTACTGGAGAGAAATGAAAAAAGCATCGTTGTCCAGTAAATCAGGAATGACTGTTAAAGGCCTGTGAATCAATATAATCCTGAAACAACAGGCATTTTTGTAATGAATATACATTTTCATAGTTATGCAGAGCTCAGATTAAAACTTAAGTGTAAAAATTAAAAAAACATTTATCTGTAAAATAAAAAATCATTCACGGGTTAAAGAGAGCAGGAACCCTTCTGGAATCATGAAATGTAACTATTTGAATTCTCTGGACACTCCAAAGCTTTGAAAACGGACTCAAACTGCTGAAGAGCTGCTGAACTGATCGATTGATCCGTTACGAGCCTCCTGAAGACGCGTTCATCACTGAGTGAAAGGAGTTTACCGTGTATCCATCCGCGACGGTGAACACAGTGATGACCTTCTTCTCGTCCGTCACGGCCAGAAACGCTCCGTCCTGAGAGTACGACATGTCCGTCACGGGCCCCTGCACCTCCAGCACCTTCCCATCATCCTTCAGGGTGCTTCCCTGAACCGCGTACAGACGCACCTTCCCGTCCTGCAGACCCAGAGATCAGCACATCTTTAAAAGGTCACGCAGGTCAAAGTGGGCGGTCCCTGACAGTGATTATGCTAATAGTCCGGAGGCTGACTGGTGACTTACAGCTCCGCCCACAGCCACGGCTCCGCCCCCAGGGTGCACAGCTGCGGCTTCGGGCTCGTACCCGAGAGAGTCCAGCGTGAAGAGCTTCTTCTTGTCCTTCAGCAGGACCAGCTGCACAAAACAGACCTTCATTACTGCACACAAGCTCACTGCAGACGAAAGTGTGGCCCATAAACCCCATCAAACCCTGGGCTCTTTAGGAGTCTGTAGGGCTTGTTTCGGGTGTTAGTCAGTGAATGTGTGTGTGAGTGTGTGTGTGTGTGAGAGAAATAGAGAGAGAGTGTGTCTGGGAGAGAGAGAGAGAGCGCGAGAGAGAGAGAGAGCGCGAGAGAGAGAGAGAGCGCGAGAGAGAGAGAGAGCGCGAGAGAGAGAGAGAGCGCGAGAGAGAGAGAGAGCGCGAGAGAGAGAGAGAGCGCGAGAGAGAGAGAGAGCGCGAGAGAGAGAGAGAGCGCGAGAGAGAGAGAGAGCGCGAGAGAGAGAGAGAGCGCGAGAGAGAGAGAGAGCGCGAGAGAGAGAGAGAGCGCGAGAGAGAGAGAGAGCGCGAGAGAGAGAGAGAGCGCGAGAGAGAGAGAGAGCGCGAGAGAGAGAGAGAGCGCGAGAGAGAGAGAGAGCGCGAGAGAGAGAGAGAGCGCGAGAGAGAGAGAGAGCGCGAGAGAGAGAGAGAGCGCGAGAGAGAGAGAGAGCGCGAGAGAGAGAGAGAGCGCGAGAGAGAGAGAGAGCGCGAGAGAGAGAGAGAGCGCGAGAGAGAGAGAGAGCGCGAGAGAGAGAGAGAGCGCGAGAGAGAGAGAGAGCGCGAGAGAGAGAGAGAGCGCGAGAGAGAGAGAGAGCGCGAGAGAGAGAGAGAGCGCGAGAGAGAGAGAGAGCGCGAGAGAGAGAGAGAGCGCGAGAGAGAGAGAGAGCGCGAGAGAGAGAGAGAGCGCGAGAGAGAGAGAGAGCGCGAGAGAGAGAGAGAGCGCGAGAGAGAGAGAGAGCGCGAGAGAGAGAGAGAGCGCGAGAGAGAGAGAGAGCGCGAGAGAGAGAGAGAGCGCGAGAGAGAGAGAGAGCGCGAGAGAGAGAGAGAGCGCGAGAGAGAGAGAGAGCGCGAGAGAGAGAGAGAGCGCGAGAGAGAGAGAGAGCGCGAGAGAGAGAGAGAGCGCGAGAGAGAGAGAGAGCGCGAGAGAGAGAGAGAGCGCGAGAGAGAGAGAGAGCGCGAGAGAGAGA